GAAGTTTAACTGGACGATCTCGCACGGTGTTCGGTTGTCGAGGCTGGTGCTGAGTGCATCGGTGAAGGCTGCTAGGGCCGATTCGCAGCTCCTGCCGGGCGGAAACCGTATTGGTGGGGGCTCCATTGTTAGGCAAACGATGGAGGTTATGGAGATTGGTCAGTATGAATGGATGTTAGACTTGAGGGGGCACCGTGTCCCTTTTTGAGAGGCGCTAGTGACGCAACTTTCCAGGATTTAGGAACAGCTGTGGGAGAGAAAATCGTTGAAGAGGCGAGTGAGGACGGGGGAGATATGGCCAGCACAGGATTTAAGCAATGCAGGGTGGAGGCTGTCTGGTCCAGGGCGTTGAGAGGAGTTGACACAGGCAAGGGCTTCGTAGGTTTCACACTGAAGAATGACTATGGAAGAGTGTGGTTGCTGGTGTGGCCATGACTGGCAGAGTTGTGGGTTGGGTGGGACAAAGGTTAGGTGCGGTTGGGTCAAGTAATGCTGCAGCCTGAGAAAAGTGGCAAGAGAAGAGCTCGTGCTATGTCGTCAAGATTAGAATAGGGCCTGCCGTGATGTGTGAAGACCAGCGCATGGAACATTTTTTTTTTTTTATAGTGAAAACATGCCCAAGAGTTTGAACTGGCAGGTTGCTTTTGCTCCTAGTTGCTGTAGGTAATCGTTATGGGAGATATGGATGAGATGCTTGACTTCGGTACGTGCCTGGTGGGCTTGGTTGAGATGAGTGGGATTTAGAGGTGCTTTTTTGAATAGCCGGTGTTTACGTCTGATTAAGACTGCAATCTCCTTTGTCATCCATGGAAGGCTGCCGTGCCCCCTGTTGAACACATTTGTGCTCAATTGCTGATATGTTGAGCGAGAGGTTGTCAGCATCGTCAGCCAATGGGTGATCAAACACGATGAACCGGGGAGCGGGGTGGATGAGCTGATTGAGATGAGGGGAATCGGTTTTTTAGAACTGCTGGAACTTCTTAGCTTGATGACCTCGCTTAGGGGCTGAGCAATGAATATTGGTGAGGAGAGCACTGCGATCACTGTCTGGTAGGCTGGATTTCACTGTGCAGCAGTAGGATAAGGTGGGATTATTGGTGCGGAAGAGGTAGAGGAATGTAGCATTACTGTTTCGAGAAATGTAGAATGAGGCGTCATGAAGTTGGGTGAGGCCAGCAGTTTTCGATACGTCTAACAGCATGTCATCGAGTGGATCAGATGAACAGTGCAGAGAACTTGCTGGGGTCGACGCGCTGTAGGCTCTCTTGGAGGAGGGCGTACGATTGTTCACGGAGGGAGGGTGGGCAGTAGGTAGACACCAGAAGAAGCTTGCCATGTTTGCAAAATACCGCGACAAAGATGGCTTCTAGACCCGGAGGGGTGAGGTAGTCGAAACGTTGGCAGGGCAGGTGTTTTGGCATGGCGAGGACGGACGCCTTCGCCCCAAGGAGGTACGGTCTTGCTGGAATAAAGAGAACTGTGTGAGATTGATTAATTGCCCATTAATTACCCACCGAAGACGGGCGTCCAGCCATGTCTCGCACACAGCGAATACTGTATTCGGGAAAGATTACTTCAGTGCTTTAAAGTCAGGAAGGTTGTTCTTTAGGAAGCAAATGTTGGAAAACCAAACGTGATTGGAGTCTGTAGACTCCGATCGCGCACTTTTCGCACAACAACTATGCCAAACGCGAAGTTGTCGTGCGAACGGTGAACGCTGCCAATGTTGTCGCTCGCCGGAGGCGGGTCAGAGAACTACTTGGTAGATCTGGCGATGATGGTGGGGTACGCAGGGGCTCTGTGCTGCTTAGGGGATGGGAAGAGTTCATTGGCCAGGGGTGGGAGCTGGCACGTCACACAGAGCCACTCGGTTGATAATGAAGAGAGGCATTGATACAGAAGCGAGAGATACATCTTCGTATTTGCATTGGAGAGTGGCGACATTGTCGAACACAGACCGGGAACACCAGGGGCAGGTTGGGCGTGAGCCGGAGTTTGAAGGTACACCCGTGAGCGATATGAAGGTGAACAGCCCTCTTGTTTTTGACGCTCCTGCAAGTTTTGGAACAATCTCTGTTCCAAAAGAGGGCTAGAACGCAAAGTTCAGACCCCAAGCCACGTACCATTTGAGACGCTGAGAGTTAATATAGCTTTAGGGAGCCGTAAAACAGGCAAGAATCCAGGTAAGGTGTTCACCTTCATATTGCCGGCAGGTGTACATAACCAGTGATCAGCAATAACGGGATTAGGTGAGGTTGTTGGCGAGGGCGACGAGTGAAGAATGCTCAACCAGGAGCTTGCTTCCATGGACGACAATGTTCGATGGTGATGCTAGTCAGAAAGTGGCATTCTAGGTGCTTACAGTTTGTCGATGATAGGTGATATTTCTATCGAAGGGCCAGTAGCCCCGTTAGGCAGATCAGGAGACGGAGGGTTGTAGAGGCGCGCTGTCATCAAACCTAACAGCTAAACATTGTGCTGAAGAAATTGACTGGCTAGATCCAACATATCTCATAGAAAACTGGCCAGGGGGGCAATGTTCGACAAATGTCTTGTTTCTCCTGACAAGAAACGGAAGAGATGGAAGTGACGATATTGCTTCTGATTGGTTAGAGGCTCATATGACGAAAGAGGGAACTTCCATCGTTTGAGCCTCAAACCGATCAGATGCAATATCCTCACTTCGATCACTTCCGTTACTTTTTAGGAGAAACGAAATATTTGTCGAACATAGCCCCCCAGGTGTATTGAACATTCATCTTGGCGGGGAAAAGGACGGGCAGGTCAAATGCACCTCCAAACACAGCTTTATTCTTTTCCACATTAGCCTGTAGTTACTCTTAAAGCAACTGGTTTGTAATCACACTCGTTATGTAAAACTGACGCGTCTGTGCAGTTATTTTTTTTTTTGCATGGTTTATGAATAGCTGTTTTGAAATACCTTTACCGCGACTTTATTTCTACCTGCCTAGACTATGTTTGTTGATCTTAGGTTTATCATTTTTTATGCACAAAGCTTGAAGGCTAACATTCAAACTGTTTGTACTACCGTGTCTGTTCGATAATACCCGTCAGCAACCGCATCATTGCATGTGCTGTTTGTAACGTTTTCGTATAAATTGTACTATGTAGAGCGAAAATAAACATTTGCCTGCTTGAAATAACTCTTGTGTGAATAAAATACCTGTGATTGTCGTCCGGCGGGCACGTCACAATATAGCGAAAACGCAACGCAAGCGGACGAGTAAAGCGGGTAAACAAAATGCCATGGGGGCCGCCATCTTGAAAACCAAAACAATAAAAACGAAACATAAAATGTGGTTAGTTACCCCATCCGTGGTGAGAGGGCGCTTTTACGAGTTTAAATAATTGTTTGAGGAACTTTCGCTCTTTTTGAATTAATTGGTTATCAATATAATTTATATTGTGTGAATAACATGTCATGAGTTAAGTTCTACAATGTACTTTCATTCACACAAGGCCCTCGATCACGTGGTTTGCGATTACCACAGGCTTATTCTACAGTGGGCAAACTGTGTATGATAAACTGTGGACACACACATCTGGAGCCGTCAGCGCCGCTGCGAAAGAACTTCGAGGATGGCTGAGAGCCGGAGGCAGTGGCGGTGGCCGCGGCTGCAGGGGCCGACGCCGCTTTCCGTGACCTCGGTGACTAGGTGAATGGCTGTGACTCGGTGAATGACTGTGACTCGGTGAAGGGCCGTGAAGTCGAACCGGTCGAACGACTTCATGAACGGGATCAGTTCACGGACGTGAGGGGAACGACTTGCTGAACTCGATGAGCTCGTGATGGGACGGTGAGCGACTTCGTGAATTCAGAGTTGGCGGTGATGGGATGGGGAATGCTTCATGAACTCTGTCGGATTCGTGATGTGACGGTGAGCGACTTTGTGAATTCAGAGCTGGCGGTGATGGGATGGGGAATGCTTCATGAACTCTATAGGATTCGTGATGTGACGGTGAAGTACTTCGTGAACTTGACGGATTCGTGAAATGACGGTGAATGACTTTGTGAGTTCAGAGATTGTGGTGACGTGATGGGGATGAGTTTGTTGTCCGGTTGAACTCCGTGATGTGAACGGCCGTGACTTTTGGACGTCGGTGTACTTTGTGATGTGAAGGGCCGTGAATATTAGACATCGGTGTACTCTGTGATGTGAAGGGCTGTGATGTTGGGACGTCGGTGTACTTTGTGATGTGAAAGGCCGTGACTTTTAGACGTCGGTGTACTCTGTGATGTGAAAAGCTGTGACTTTTGGACGTCGATGTACTTTGTGATGTGAAGGGCTGTGACTTTTGGATGTTGCTGTAATTAGTGATGTGATGGTGAGTGAGTGGGTTCGGAAATGCCGACCTATGACAGTGAGTGTACCAATTAGGAAAAACACGTATTAACGGAACCAGACGAGTCTTTTTTCTATTCATTGGAAAAATAAGAATGCGTCTTAAATTAATTAAAAGTCTAGAAACTTGGAATGCATAGAGGTATGTGTTTGAAAATATCAAAACTTGCGTGTTTTTTTTTTTTTGTGGTTCGCTAAGTTTTGAAAAATGCATATCACATTTTACACTAAAACAGTGATGAAGAATTGGCAATTTATTTGCAAAACGAACAAAATACGTCGCACGCGCACAGACGCGACATTTGCACCACAATTAGGAGCGTTAGCACAGCTGCCATCGGTATTATGGTTGGGGCCGTGGGACCGCCGCCTTAAGGTACAACTTAATAGCATACCAACTTTTGTATTAAAACTGCCGTTTATGAACGAGCGCGACTCACGTGCCGGGGAATGGTTTATATGAAAACTTACAGTCATACAAAGATCAGGAGTATCTCAGGATTAACTCCCAGATGGTGAAAGCGCTCTAGTGTGGTCTCTCGCCGTAAGCTATCACAAGCGAGTTACAACGCTGTCTGTCACGTGCAAACGCGTAAGCAAAAGCCAGTTTTTAAGGCTGTACAAATTTTTACACAGGCTACGCCTGCGGCCGAGAGTGCTCCGCAACGTAGCTGAAAGACGGATAGAAGTAACCCTGCTGGGAGACCAGAAGCTGTCCATGCCGGTTGGTATCTCTCCAACAGCTTTCCAAAAAATGGCACATCCGGAGGGAGAAATCGCCGTAGCGAAGGGTGAGTAAAAAAGGCGGTATCTGCTACGCGATTCAATCACACGCCGGAGTGGGTGACTTAAGACGTTATTCTTGTCCAAAACTCGTGTCAACTAAAATGCCTCAATACCCTCCTCGGGAGACGTTCTTAAATAATTAATTAAATAATGAAATATGAACTTTTCCCGACCTCTTGTGGCTTGTGGTGACATTCTAACGAAATACATGGCGTATATTTATTTTATTTTAAATATTTGTTTTTACGAAAGGTCCTAGGTTGCAACCTTCACGACCAACACTGTGCGATGCACTTCTAATACAGGCGCTACAAAAGAACAACAACTAGACCTTTCTTTTTAGACAGACACTTTACAACTGTAAAGGCTTGTGAGGCACATCCAATTGACAAATACCTATATACAGTGCTGACAAACGCACGGGGACAAGCGTTTGGTTTTGTCAAGTGCATTCTGTATGCGAGTTCTCTAACACAGCGTTTAACTCAGCTAGGCTCATGTGCCTGTGCCTTTGTCCGCATTGCCTTTGAGAAAAAGCATTCGAATTGTGAGCAATTCACCTGGTGAAACCTGGGGCACCAAAAGATTCTGTATAAGCTATACGCCACGGTGCCTCTAACCTGTCTCCGACTGGTGTGTTTCGCTGTGTCCAAAAAAGTGGACCCTCGATTTCCGCCTGGTGAGGTTAAAGAATTTTCGTGCTGTCGCCTGCTGCGATCCTGACGCTGTCCCAGCAGCAGCGGTGGGTGTGGCAGACGCCTGTTCTGATGCAGGTATTTCTTAAGTTTGACATTGCACGGTAGCTTTCAGCCGGGGCTCGGAACGCCGCGACGACAGCGACACTCGCGCTAGCACGTGCTTTTTGCCAGCCCTTCTACGACCAACCGCCAGGATCGCGAGATCCGACAGCATGTCACACCGGCTTCCGTGACGTAATTTGTGGCAACTTCGGGATGGTATTTGATGCATAGGCGCGACAGAACGATAAGCACACCAGTCGGAGACGCGCTCCAGGCATCGAAGCTGCCTGGAGGAAAGTGATGTCACTTTAGCCATAATGAAGCCGAAAACATTTGTTGCCACTAATCTAGAGTTTTAAATGAAATCGCAGGTAACGGCTTTTCGTTGTCCAGAAATGTTAAAATACTCCGTGACGGAACGAAACGTTATCGCCTAAAGCTCCTGTCAACTTGCATACAACGCAGGACCTCCGTTCTTTTTTTTATAATCGCAACAATCTCTCATTGCATCTGTTTTAGGCTGAACACTGCTATGGCAGCGCCCAGAAGAAATTGGAGGAATTGAATTCCGATACTATAAACGCAGCTGATTTCGTGGCTCTACTGTAATGGTTCGTGAGCTGGAATGACGATGTATCCTGTTAGTTTGTGCGCTTCTTTTCTCTCGTCGGGGATGTGAACCTTGAAAAGAACGTCCTTGTCAGAGACTGTCAGGTCGTTGTATACCAGGGGTCTGTAGAAAACAAAAACAAAAACATATACAATTGTGTTTTCTTTCAGACATCAACTAAACACCAATACACTGTCTACAAACAAGCCAGTGTTTGCCAAAATCGGGTCTGAGCACTCTGCCTGTGCAGAAAACAGGTTCGCGTCAAGTAATGCGTATGCGCATACGCAGTGACGGCAGAAGCGCCACCAAAAGGGCGTGACGTCAGAGATTTGAGTTGGTCTGTACACCGCTGGATGTTCATTCTCTGCCCAAATGTAGCGCTGACGGTTCCTGCCAAATGCCAAGCTTTCAAAACTCACCGTGGTCTCATTCAAAAGTGACAAGAAAATTTGGTACATTTCCAAGTACAATATTGAGTGCGTTTCCGGCATCCGACGTGCCATTCATCTTCGTGTGTTAGTGAAATTCGTTCGCCGCCACGTTGTTTTTTTTCTCTTTTTTTTTTTTTTTGCTTTGAAAAGTTTCGAATATGATTGGTAATTTTGGAACCAATAACTAAAAAGCTTTAAAGGTTTTTCATCCGGTCCGGTCCACTAGCGATATATTTGGGCACAAGCTGAGCGTTTGGCGATGCCTACTTTATGTTTGAGGTGAAAATTAAGGTACGCTATACGTTGGTCCTGCTCTCTTGGAAGTGCTACTGTGACCGCCCGAGTAAGTAGAGAGGAAACAAAAAGCCTGAACACTTTTGAGGAGTGTAGTTGAGAGGTCACAGTGCGATGTGTGCTCAGGCCAGCTGTCTTTCTCACGTCGTCTTGTCGCAGCTGCACAGGCTGCTGGAACAGTCATGACGCTGAGCAGCTTCAGCAACGACTGCCTCGAAGACGTGCAGCGGGGAGCTCCAGAAGGGCTCCGCTGGTTCCAGCTGTACGTGTTCAGGGACAGAGAGTTCACCAGGAACCTCGTGGAACGCGCCGAGAGGTCCGGCTACCGCGCCCTCGTGCTCACCGTCGATATGCCCGTGGAAGGACAGAAAAACTTTGACAAGATGTCCGACTTCCGCATACCGGAGCACCTAAGGTGTTTAAAATTCTTCAAACTATGTGGAGCGCGCCACTTCTTAAACTTACCAAGCTTTGGAGATTTCTTTCCAAAGTGACTTTTCACTCCTGAAAGGCACGTATCATTGCACAATGGGAAAACAACCGACAAGGGGGACGTGTTAAATGTGGTATATACTTCAATCGACTACAATTCAAAGCCCAGCCGAAGTTTGAAAAAACCCAAACGCAGGCGAACATAGTAAAAGGGCAAAGCCACGGTGTACACACATCGCTTGATTGACACAGTCAATCGTGCCAGTCGGACAAAATGGAAGCAAACGCCTTGTCATTGCACCTGTCACGCTGCTTCATCAGCCCATCAACTCGTTGTCTCGGTCGCGATCAAGGTGAAATCGAAGCAAAGGTCTAAAACTAGTCTAACTACAGAAGATGATGATGCCTTAAAATAATACTTAGTTTCGTTTTGAGACAGAGTAAGTTGAAGTTCGCAGGAAGAACTTCAAAAGGAACTTCACTGAATGCACGGAATGACACCTGGGTCTCTGGACTCGACAGACACAAAGTTGGAACCGAAACTTTGTGAAACACGTCGATATGACTTCGGCGACAAAAGCGCGGCGTCATTGTCGCCAGCGTCTGATCGCTGCGCTTCGTAAACTTCTGTCCAAACTTTGTGTCCGCCGAGTATAGGGCCCTAAACATTGCGCTGAGCCTTCTTCAGCGCCTCGAAAAGGATTTGAAACGTGGGCTGCCGCTCTAAGTCTCTCAAAAGGTTTCTTTCAACAAAAAAGAAGAATGACAAGTTTGCTGAAAGGAATATTTTAGAGCGCAGCTCTTAGGCGCCCGTTTTCGGCTTGAGTGGCGTTGCCGTCGCCGTCGGCGTCGGCGTCGCCGTGGGCGTAATCGCGCATTGCATTATGGGACGTTTCTTATATTGACGTCACACGTGACGTCACGTGTGACGTCACTAGGGTCACGAGTGACGTCACGAGAATCACTGGGGTGACGAGTGACGTCACGGTCCCTCGTGGAGGTCACGACCTTCACGAGGGTCACGTGACGTTACAAAGGTCACTCGTGAAGTTCACGACGAAGGTCACGACCTTCACAGTAAAGGTAACGTAAAGGTCACGACCTTCACGAGTGATGTCACGAGGGAGGAGGAGGGGAGGAGAGTAAAAGGAGTAGGGAGGAGGGGGAGAAAGAAGAAGGAGAGGAGGAGGAGGGGAGGAAAAGGGGCGTACCCTCCTTTTCATACCCTTCCCTCCTCCTCCTCAAGAGCTGCGCTTTAATTCAGCATTACAGGGAATTGTATACGTCTTTCATATTTTTAATGTGAAAGACGGCATGAAAGGAAATAGTCAACTCAGTATGATCTTTTTTTTCGTCTTTTTTCTTTTTTTGCTCTGAACTCAAAACGATGTCAGCATTGTGAAACGTTACGCGGAAGTTGTGGAAAATTCAGAAATAAATTGATAACGAGGAAGTACTACAGTGTACTAGAATGCGGGGTAGTGTTGCGATTGAGCGGCTCACGTGAGGCGTGTGATGGAGATCACGATAGGTGTCGACACCGGCGCATCGGCAGTAGGGTCAGTATAGTGGTGATTGTGCGCGTGCACCGCGTGCACGCGCACGTGCGGCGGGACGTGCGGACTGCAGCGACTTTCTTCTGCCCCAGAGCCGCATATTGAGAGAGTTTGGCCACTCATTGGGAAGTAATGGAGGCAAATAAGGAGAGACCATTGGCCGAAAACGGGCTGGACGTGTTCCAGGGCGCCTTCACATATTCGAATGGGGCCAGCCAGAAGCGGGAAATAATACCCATGCGGTGGTCGCGAGAAACGAAGTCAATAAGTGCGTGGGAGTTACTCTCGGTTATTGAATATATGATGCACGTGATATTTTGATCACGGCCATGCACAATAAGACTCTAGCAAAACTATCGACGTAATCCGTACCCCAGGTGCCGAGGGACGGGAATCTGCCGTCCAAGCGGTCAGATTTCGTCCGAACAGTGTTCGAGCGGCGAATTCGTCTCTCACATGTTTTTGCATAATCATAATTGAAACATCATGTGTACATTATTTCCAACTCTGAAGAGTTACTGCGGTTAACTCTTACGCACTTATTAAAAAAGTTTCACGCTGCAACCACTAGGTGATTGTTTTCGGCTTCTGGTTGGTTCTGGTTTTTGCGCCTTATTCACGCCCTGGATGCGACCGCTCTTCCCATTGACCAAACTCACTCTATATATGGCTCTTTGCTGTCCTGTCGACTGCAGTGCCACAATTGTCGTCTACCCGCTTAGCCTCATAAGTTCCCCTTGTAGAGTTGTGCCGGTCCAAACACTACCCGATATTCTGCAGCAGTATGGAAAATGGCGTTTCGGGAGCCATCTTGTTATTGTGAAGGAAAACGTTCATGCTGACCGCTAGCCTAAGCTGAATTCTCCCTCACGTCGCCAGCGTTCTCCTGCGCATTGAGCAATAGCTGGAATCATGAATAGATTTAGGGCGATATAATGTGTAAAACAATAAAAGGGAGCCCAGTGCCTCAACAAGTTATTCAACAGCACAAGTAAAATATTCAGAGGAACATTCTGCTGTCAAAACTTTGAAGCAAAAAAAATAAAACCTCGTCTGGAACAATCGCAGTTCTACAATACATACTGAATACCCCCATTGATAGTTCTGCGCGTTTCAATGTTAAATTATCCGTAGAATTTTTTCGATATTACAGAAAATTTGCTTGACACATTTGTCGAAGTGGAGAAAATCGTGAACTTGTAATTTGTTCTTAATATTTAACAACCTGGCAAGTGAGTAAGGTAGTTAAGAATTTTTAATTAGTGCGATAGATTAAGAGTGTCATATTTCCTTGAGCCAGATTAGCGTTGTTCAATATTAAACTCCCCTGCAAGGTAAAACAACGAGGTAGTGCAGGCAAGTGCCCACAAGACTAACGTGGGTGCTTCAGCTCCTTCCACTTCTGAAGAAATAGTACTCAGTCCGACGAGCAAATTCCGCTTCATGTGGGAGCAAAAGGCGTATATTTCGATGATGATTCAGCGAGACCATAATTTCGTCCTTCCATGTTTTCGAGCTCGACGAGAGGTAGGTGAATCTGGCCCAAGGTGTAGACATCGTCACATGGCGCCTGCTTGTGAGGTAGTGCAGGCAAGTGATAAGCTTTTCTGACACGCCAATCGACTGATCACTACTAGGATAAATTATCGCGTTTTTCAGATAAACGAAGTCTACTTTGAATGCGTCATTTCAGTATCCAGCCTTCATTTCTGCACTTAGTACAAACACAGTACTTTTCAGTGAACCAATATGGCCGTGGAGGTCTCACTCGATAAATCATAAGCAGCGTACTGCTTTTATCGTGTTCACTTCACTTCACATAGGCCGGTGCAAATAAAACCTGATTCTATAAAATCGTGTGAGATAACTTGAGACAGGAGCCAGTAGAAAACAAAGCCCACAATCCCGATCATGCAATAATTCATCAAGGCTATTTTAGAAAACTAGATTAATCACTGGACGTAAAGGCTGGATCGGGTTAGCGAATTATCCGAGGCAAGCAAAAACCATATTAAACTGAAAAAAAAGAAATTGGCTGCATATTGATGGTTTTGAAAACAATCTTGTTGCTCGGCGCACGCTGCCATATGCTGAAAAAGTGCGTTCTTAAATTAAGTGAACGTGAACAGGAGGCGTAGTAATATACACTTCCGCGGGGGGCACGCTGCCTATCCAATAAAAAAATAAAGCGGGACGGAGCTTTTTCTTAGCGGGCTACGCACCTGCATATCTTTCTCTCCCAGGATTGTAAATTTGTTTTGTGGCATGGAGTGCTGTCCGCTTACGTCGAAGTTAACTTTGATCAGTTCACATAAAAGGAAAGACGTTTACAATCTCCTGTAACACCGGATTAGAGCGCAGCTCTTGAGGAGGACGAGCGGAAGGTACGGAGAGGACGATATGCCGCTCCGCTCCTGCTCGCCTCCCATTAGGGGAAAATTTTCCACTACATTTTGCGGGAAATTTTTTTTCGCTGAATTTAGCGGGGAATAATTTCCGCTAAAGTTAGCGGTTAATTTTTTGCTAAATTCAGCGGGCAAATATTTCCGCTAAATTTAGCGGGGCATTGTGTCCGCTAAATTAAGCGGGGAATTTTTTCTGCTAAATTTAATGGGGAAATTTTTCCGCTAAAATTAGCGGGGAAATTTTTCCGCTAATAGTAGGGAATTTTTCCGCTAAATTTAGCGGGGAAATATTGTCCGCTAAATTTAGCGGGACATTTTTCCGCTAAATTTTGCGGTGAAACTTTTCTGCTAAATTCAGCGGGAAAGTTTTCTCGCTAAATTTAGCGGGGAATTTTTTCCGCTAAAGATAGCGGGGCATTGTTTCAGCTAATTTTAGCGGGGAAGGTTTTCCCGCTAAATTTAGTGGGGAAATATTTTTTCTGGTATAATTAGCGCGGGAATTGTTTTTTCGCTAAACTTGGCAGAGAAAAGTTTCCGCTAAATTTTGCCGGGAAAATTTTTTGCTAAATTTAGAGGTTAATTTTTTTTCTGCTAAATTTGGTGGGGAATATTTTCTGCTAAATTTAGCGGGAAACGTTCTGGCTAAATTTGTCGGGAAGATTTTTTCTGCTAAATTAGCGGATAATTTTTCACGCTCATTCTGGCAAATTTAGCGGGGAAAGTTTTTGCTTAATTCAGCGGGAAAATTTTCGGTTAAATACAGCGGGGAAGTTTTTCCGGTAAATCTAGCGGGGAATTTTTTCAGATAAATTTAGCGGGGAAATACTTCCCCTAAATTTAGCGAGAAAATTTAGTTCACTAAATATAGCGGAGAAATTTTTTGTGCTAAATCGAGCGGGGAAAAGTTTTCCGCTGAATTTGCGTGAATATTTCTCCACTAAATTTAGCGGGAATTTTTTCCGCTAAATATAGCGAGGAAGTTTTTCCGCTAAATTTAGCGGGTAAACTTGCCCATAATGCACCGCGGGATTGGGCCGACGGCGACGCCGCTCAAGCCGGAAACGGGGGCCTAAGAGCTGCGCTCTAAACACTGAACGAACGCTAAGTCGTGCCGAAATTCGGCAGTGCGCCGAGACTAGGAAAACATACAAATGAGATGGGACATAGGATGACTAAGATGATGACTACGCCACACGTAGCCATCATCCAAGGAACTCAGATTCTCTGATGAGTCAAATGTTGACTGCCAATCACACTCACAAACCGGGATCCATTTAAAGGCTGGTTTATGAACTTCTGTTTTGTTGTAGCCGAGTGCGTTGTGCAGCCTTCTACTCCCTTTCGACGAAAGAATGCGAAGCCCCGCTGGCACCAACTGTGATATAGCCCTGAAACGGTATTTAAACGATATAATGAAGGGTTTGTTGTATTTGCGAGATCACATGTACGGACGATATATGACAATAGGCCATTTATAACATTGGCGGAACTTTTTTTTTTAAGCCGGTGGGAAAGATAAGGTGCAAAATATTCGGAAATATACGAAAATCGCCAATATACTAGAGCTAATCGATAGATGGTGTCGGTATGTTCTCTTGTCAGAAGGGAGCAGAATGCTACGCAACGCAATTGGTTGCAACCAAACGCAAGTGTGTGAACTAGCCTTAGCTTCTTTCATAATGCTCACTTTTACTTAAACCATTGCAGACTCGGGTACTGCACTTCTTTGTCCGCCAGTTAAAGTTCGCTATCAAGTCCTGGAAACCGAGAAGCAGCATGAAAAACGTCCATGAGTGTCGCTTCAGGAACTCTACTTTTTTTTAAATTGCAGATATGGCAACTTTTTGGGAACCTCCCGGCACGAAGATGCATTCCCAAGTGCTGCAGTGTGTGACGACATCTGCGATGCTTCCCTCACCTGGGCGGACGTCATCTGGCTGAGAGGCATCACGAAGCTGCCTGTGGTAGCCAAAGGAATTTGTACAGGTTCGTTGCTTCTGCACACAACTGTCATTGTAGATGATCCACACGCCAGGCTGTTATTAGGAATGAGTCACCGAACGGCAGGTAGTACATAATGAGAGTTGGCAAAGTGACAGAGGTGCATGAGTTAGGATGTCTAAATATATGGAATATTGGGGATGAACCAAATAAAGCAATATGTTTGTTTACCTCCTTGCAGAACACGGAAACGGACAATTACGTCGGAGAATACCAATCAAAAATTTCAGTGAATGAAAATTCTCAAAATAATATTAGACCAAAAAGAATGCTATATAGGCGGAAGTGAAACATCGTGTTCCTTGTCCTTGCGCACGGAACCTTGAATTTTGTCTCCTCGTATCCTGAGCTTTGTAATTCGCTTGTATCCTTGTAATTGCTCGTCGTGATTGGATGTCTTCAAGTTTTGTAGAAAAGTGAACTTACACGTGGTTTCTAGAGTGCATTGGCAGGTAATCCACTCCGGAGAAGCCGGCTGCCAACAAACCCCGGGGATTTCACAAAGTCTCCTGTTAGGAAATAAAAAACAGTGAATCCGCTCCGAGTTGTCATAATAAATATAATATTATAATGGTCTTACTTTTATTAGATGCTAGGGATGGAACAAATTCTACCTGATTTTGCGAGATGACAGCATTAACCTTCTATACCCCCCTTATTTTTACCTCTAAATACACAGTAGAAGGCAGGCAATGACTGGCCCTTTGCCGGCACTTTTTATTGTCAGATAGAAATATTTAGTTAAGAGAGTACTTTTAAAGATGAAAGTAATTAATTTGCTCCATTAGAACGTCTTTATTACTTATAAACTATTTTGTAAATGCTTTTGTATATTTGAGAAATCTTGTTTTCTAATACAGCCGAAGATGCTGAGGAAGCCATTCACTGCGGAGTTTCTGCCATATTGGTCTCTAATCATGGAGCAAGACACCTGGATGGATTACCTTCGACAGTACGTTTGTGCTCGCTTTCTTTTTTATAGGCTAAGCTTTTAATTAAGCTGTTGGTTAGTTTCGGGTCTGTAGAGTAGAAGTGGTAATGATGTTGCGAGGTTTAGCGGCGCAGCAGCAACGAAGGTTATATATAATGCGCCTAGCTCGACGTATTTAGGTCTTATTGAAGAGACATTTAAACAAAATGTTAAATAAAAGTAATCGCGTACATATTACGTTTTTTTTTAAAGAAAATGTCTTACGCGTTCAATGGGAGCTAAAGCCGGGTCACACTGCTTACACATGATACAAAATAGCCTGCATACAGATTCAAACGCGAGTCACCGCGAGATCCGTGCTTCGAATGCCCCTTGGCAATGAGTTCAAGCAGAAAACATGGGAAGCGGCATTCGAACCACAGATATTACGGTTGCTTGTGTTTGCAGGCTGTCATATCTATGATGCATGAGCATTGTGACCCCTGCTTAAGGGTTCACGCCAGACAAACGCATGCAGTGGAAGGCAGAAATGAATCGTCGGATTTCATTAATCATATATCGTCCCTCTACAACAGAATTACAGGTCGGCATGTCTTAAAACAGTGCACGTTTTCTAAATCTTTGGAGAACCTATATCGGTGATCGGTACAATTTAATATCATAACAAAAAAAAAATCTTGCAAAATGCCCTTTTGCTTTTTTTTAGGATTGAGGAGCAATCTGAATAATGTCCCAGGTCGCTGTGTTCTGTGGACCGAAATTTGTTTTGTGTTTGGCAATTTAGGGTTCTGAGGGAATGAGACAAAGGATAGCCAAACTTGGTACTCTTATGTTGGAATTTTTATATATTGGTCCCGAGCTGCCGAAGCGCCATAGTTAGGCTTCACTTTTGGTTGTTCAGAAACGTAACCTGGAATCTTTGTGCCTAAATTGCCAAACGCGTGCAAGAGTGAGGCTTTACTTTTCAGTTGGTTTTAATTGTTGCCATCTGGAATTTTCAGGCTACAACTCTCGAGAAAATATGAACATCAGGTTTCACTTCTGGTTGTTGGGTTATCGCATGGCATTTCTGGCTTATATATCTGTCATTTTGGCAATTTTGTGGTGTTCAACACAAAAGCTACATATGAAATTTCACTGGCTATCTGGCAAAAAAAAAATACTTTTGCCATAATTAACACCTTAGAGAAAATCCCAATTAGACCCAAGGTAGGCCCATAGGAGTGCCACACTAAGGCCAGTTAGGATTTTTAACGGTGTGCGGCGTGTGCTTAATGCATTCAGTCACACTTTGCCCACATGCGTAATAATTAAGAGCAGAAGCGCAGCTCCTGATTGCTTGAAATGTGCTGTATTTTATCTTTCATCTGAAACTGTCAACATCACAAATGACTCCCGGGCAATTTTTATAACCTGTAAAAACCGTCGTCGACGCATGCATATCCCTGGAATGTTCTACCAACCACAGTACCGTTAGCATGACAAACCCCAATTTAGCCTTTATCGTCAATGGAGTTTTCGTTTATATACAGGCAGAATGTTAAATGTTAACAAAGCAATGCTGGTCGTCAATTTCCCTTTTGGTGCTCCACACCTCCATGTTGTATATGCTTGCATTTATAAACCCTCCGTAATGGGAAGATGACACAAATTTAGCACGTTAGAAATTAGAACAAAATTACAAATTACTGAAGCCACAGGTTCTTATTGCTGCCAATATTGGATCATTTGCGCAGTTTCGAGTTATTGAACGTATTGTGGACGCTTTTTTGAGCTCTCTATTCTTTGTGTTGCGTAAGAATATTACCTTTCTGAGCTGTGTACAAGGAAACTAATGAACTTGTAATGTGATCAATGTTTGAGGTGTGCAGTTTGTTTCATTAAAGTTAACAATTGGTGGCAGGGTGCGCTTACCTACCCATGCTCGCTACACGTGGACGTAAGCGCGTACTGCGGAACCGAAGGGTATTGGGATACGCTTACCACCCCTGTCCGTTTCAATCAGATCAGAATAAGCACTGTATCTGGTGCGGCTGTGCACAATTACTATTTCGTGATGCAGGTTATAAACTTTGCGCTTTGAGTAATTCTGCACTGGTCAAATTTTTCATCTACAAAGGAGTCGCGAGATGCCCACTTGGACTTACTAACTTACTAACTTCACGCCGTCTAAACGTCCACGCAGCACACTAACTGTGGAATGTGAAATCCACCCTTTTCTCGCTCTGCTTGTAGATTGAAGTCCTCCCCGATATAGTGAGGGCTGTCCGTGGCCGCGTCGAGGTCTACCTCGACGGCGGAGTTCGTCGAGGCACTGACGTGGTCAAGGCGCTGGCACTCGGAGCCAAGGCCGTGTTTATTGGACGCCCAGCACTCTGGGGTCTGGCGTACAACGTAAGACGTCGCATTTTCTTTTGCTTCATAAACTCAAGGCTTCCAAAATCAGACGTTCTTGTAGTCACAATAAAAGTGACACAGCGATTTTCACCTAAATAAAAGAGCAGTAAGAAAATTACGCCTTCAATCAAATGTTGAGTAGCTTTGTTTTCTTTTGGAGAGGAGTTCGGTGGTTCATTATTGCATTGGATGATTATTTTGGCAACATCACCCTATTACCATTCACCTAAACCTTGTGGCGAAGAGTGTTTAGCTTTCAACGCTTAATTGAATCATTATTCGTTTTAATTAGGAAGTCGAAAGATTAGCTCTGATAAAGTTATCCGCTTCCAAGAGCAAAAGCTTATCAGACTCAATTTAGCCTTAGCCTACAAAATCTTTATTGAACTTTAACTGGTTTAATTTTTTGTCTGGATCAGGAGTCTGGTTCTTCTTAAAGATACTTAAAAGAAAAAAAAGTTTTCTTACTCTCAGATGGATTTGCTCCCAATTAAACATCGAACATATCTTCTTATGGGCGCAGTCTTTCTAATACCTTTGTTACACGGGCTCGATTAACCACAGTTACGCTAGCCCACAGTACAACACGATACTTGCGGACAACATTCTGAAGCAATGCAGTCGAAGCCATGGGCAGATGTGCGCCTGGGCGTCTTGAACACTCATCAGAGGCTTGCACGCGTGCAGTCTTCACTACTTTTAATATAGCTATCCGGGAGTATAGTGCGGTGACTGTGGAAGCGTGTAACAGCAGTTAAAGGTGAGTTAACTGCGGTTAAGGGTGCCCTCGTAACACGGGTATAAGTGAGTTAAGTAAGTAATACCATTGTTCGAAAGTAAGCGTCTGTTGTTTCCATGACACGACTGACAATGATATAGTTAATAAAATGTCACTACTTTGTTGCAGTAAATGATATTGGTTTACCATTTTCTTAAATCACCGAGGCTGGGTGGAGTACGAGAATAATCCTAAGGAGAATAGAATGGAACATAGAGGAAAAAGTGAATAATTCTCCGTTGTAAAACACCTAGTATTTGCAATTGTGTTGTTGTCTTCTGTCGTTTTGTTCATTTCTTTCACTTTTCTTTGTATTCTCAACCCCTTTTTATGTAGTTTAGGAAAGTAGCACATCTACACCAGTTCGCATACGCCATCATTGTTTAATTAAAATTGGCGAAACTGTTCGAGACGGAAAAAAGACAAAACAGAGTCTCTCAAGAAAATATAATCAGTTCCGCCACAAAGATGAACAATTCTAAATTAACTGCAGAGGCGTGTTCTACTTGACACAGAAAGATCAAAACAAACTCGGGAAATGGGGCGCGAACACGTTTACCGCTCGCAACAATGTGATTGTTGTTGCGAGTGAAGGACATGCTCTTCCTCCGTTGTCTGGAGTTTGTTCTATTCTCTCTGCGTCATGTTAAAAATTATACTATTTTAGTATTCTATCACTTGGATTGGAATTGAATGTATAAGCCTCCCCATTATCTTGTCTCTCAGGCTAACACCACCTAGACAGCAAAGCCTGCGTTTTACTTCTCATGACGCGACGTTAGGAGGTCCCGCACGGGCGATGATTGGATGCGAGTGCCGCGTCAGCGTTCGCGTGGGGCTCGTTTCCTATCATAGTCCCACGCAAACGCTGACGCGGCACTCCCATCCAATCAGCACCCGTGCGGGACCCCCGGACGTCACGTCATGAGACGTAACGCGCAGGCTTTAAAGCCGTCTAGGAGGTGTTGGTCAGGCATCTGTAACATTTCATACTCGACTCCTTTGTAGCTATGCTCTTCTTCCCCAATCGTTTTATATGACGTTAATTTTAAGTGAGGAATCACGCTCATTTCTGGGCTGCCTATAATATATACGTATATTTGCCATCGCCTGGGGAGAGCAGAATTTCTAATGTGTGTACTGATACCCGCAGGGTAAAGCAGGCGTGCGCCAGACTCTCGAAATCTTAAGGGAGGAGCTAGACCGGGCTCTCGCATTGATGGGTAAGTCGGAGGTCTTATTCGAGAGAGATATAAAACAATGTGTGCGCTTAGGGGCCTATACTCAGTGATAAAGTGAAAATGGAAGTGAGTGTCTCTTGAAGAAACACCCTTCAACAGGCTCTTAATGCCTTCCGTGGTGCTTCTGTTGCGCGCGCGAGCTCGAGATGCACAAGTGCTCGAAGCTCTTTCCTGCCGTTCTCACCTTCTAAGTGACTATATCCTGACTATCAGAACAAACACCGATTTTATTCACCGGCAAAACAAGGTAAGCTTTTGCTTTCTTTCCGCCATAACAAGTAAGCTTCCGTAGTGGCGCGTATGCACAGAACGTTTATATTGTGAACCAAACGGTCACCGTAAGCGGATTCAAGGGGGGAAAGAGGGTGACTGCTGCCCCCCCCTCTCCTAACGTCCCCAAGGTCAACTTTATTTTAATAAAAAAACTGATCCAAAAATCTTTTTTTACGAAGAAATATTAGTTTTTGGTGAGATGACTACTATTGAGTCAACAAAGCAAATCTGGGCAGCGTTTCGCAAATCCGCCCCTGATGGTAACCTTTAATAAACGCAAAGGAAATGTTAAACAATTGAGTTTTATGCGCGCGCATGAAGTGAGTGTTTGGTGATATGGTCTGTCACCAGGCCCAACAAATTGACAAGAAAAGAAAAAAAAAGCTTTGCGGTTTTATCCTATTTAAGCGTCTACCTTTTAGAGCGCAGCTCTTAGGCGCCCGTTTCCGGCTCCAGCGGCGTCGCCGTCGCCGTCGGCGTAACCGCGCGGTGCAGTATGAGTAAATTTCCCCGCTAAATCTAGCGAAAAAATTTCCCCGCTAAATCTAGCGGAAAAATTTCCACGGTCACGTGACCCCCCCGGGACCTTGGGGAGGGGGTCACGTGACCAAGGCGGGGGGGGGGGGGGGGGGGGCGCGACCTTAGGGGGTCACGTGACCTGGGGGTGTCACGTAATCTGGGAGTGTTACGTGACCTCGGGGGGTCACGTGACGCCTGAGGTCACGTGACGCCCCATAGAAATATTTCCGCTAGATTTAGCGGGGAAATTTTTCCGCTAGATAGTAGGGAAAATTTTGCGCTAGATTTAGCGGGGAAATTTTCCGCTAGATTTAGTGGGGAAATATTCCGCTCGATTTAGCGGGGAAATTTTTCCGCTAGATTTAGCGGGGAAATTTTTAAGCTAGATCTAGCGGGGAAATTTTTCCGCTAGGTTTAGCGGAGAGATTTTTCCACTAGATTTAGCGGGAAAATTAACCCATAATGCACCGCGCGGTTACGCCGACGGCGACGCTGCTCAAGCCGAAAACGTGACCCCCACGTGACCTTGGGGAGGGGGTCACGTGACCTTGAACCACACCTCCAGGTCACGTGACACCCCCCCCCCCCCGAGGTCACGTGAACTCCCCTCCCCCGAGAACACGTGGCCCTCAGCACCCTTCCTTCCTTCTCAAGAGCTGCGCTCGAATTCGGCGTTACAGGGAGTTGTAAACGGCTTTCATTCTTTTTGCGGTTTCTACATCTCTTGTATTTCGGGCAACCCAGCGAGCACGGAGAGAGTAACTAAATATCAGTGCGTCATATTTTAACTGGACGTCATGGAAGCCTCCCCCATCTACGGGGGCGCCTCGTGGCATGTGACGCAATCGTGATGGTGTCGGTCCTGGCCAGCTCCTGCCTTACGACTGGTCAGAGCCGCTAAAAGCTTCTTTTTAGTCGAAATACAAAATATAAGTGGATTAAACCGTCTCACTTATCTGTGAACACAGCTTCTGTTTAGTATTTTAGTTCATAAAAGAAACACATGCAGTTTAGAAAAGTCACGCGACAGATACAGTAACCAAAGACCGGTAGTCACCCCCCCCCCCCCTTTCATAATATTTCTCATAACCTAAAGATGATTGGGAATCGCGCAAATATCGATGTAGTCTTTTCCGCCCTCAACAAAATCTCAGGCTTATGTAAAAACGTTAACGCCTTACCAAAAACACTTACCTGCTGCACTAAAAAGCATAAAACCCCATACATACCTTGCTCAAAAGGAGTGATTTATTCCTTTCCGCTTTCATGCAGCGGTCAGTACATAGGACAAACTGGAAGATGTATAAATGACAGATTAAGGAATCATAACAAAAGAACACCTGAATAGCAAACTCAGGACTTTTAGGAACTCACTGCCGTGGCTGTGGGTGCACTGCGGACTTCAAAAATAGCACCGTAATTGGAAAGAACTATCACCACTTAACACGTGAGATAATTGAGGCACCTAACATCATGAAAAGGAGTGACACTTGTTTTAGTAGTCCATCCATTACGCTTACTGAAAATAAAGAGCTATACCATGACACTCAAAGGATAATGTGTGATAGACATTAGTACTTGTTTTGTACAGGAGACAACAAAGTGATATATGGCGACTTTTACCCCACATTCACACTGGAAGCGGATCCGCGTTCGCGAAGCGGTTGCGAAAGCGGTTGTATAAAGATCCAGTGCAATTGCACGCGCATTTGATGTCATCGTGTGCGCGTGCAATTGTACTGAATCCTTATACAACCGCGTTCGCAACCGCTTTGCGAACGCGGATCCGCTTCCAGTGTGAATGAGCCCTTATACGGGTAAAAGAAAAAGAAAGAAGACGAAAATACATACTGAGTTGTACGTTAGCGTAACGTGAGTGACCTTTTTTCTGGTGTGTGTGTATTTTCAATGTGACTGAGTTCGCTTTTGCGCTATTTCCTACAATATAAATATCCAACTCGCCCAAGCATCCATTCTAAGCAGTTTAGAAAGTACGCAAACAAGAAATGACCCGTCGACCTACCTGCCACCAAGCGATGGAAAAGGCGGCGCATACTGGAAAGTGGTAGTGGAGTCAGGCCACGGTGGATCAGGCGCCGACGCGTGCCACGCATTGCTGTGAAGGGATGGGCATAGAAAGGTCCCGGATATACGCGGCGGCGCTGTGATCGTATGGTCTGGAGGATCCGACCGGATCCGAGGGTTTTGAAGGTCTTCGGCGAGCAGGTTCGGCTTGCGGTTTGGCGGTTTGGCAGCGCGAAGTGTTTGCTCCTCTGAACTGATATTTACCCCGTGTTTGCTGTCATTTGTCGCCAATGCCAGGGCGGCAAGCAAATGCAGGGCCGCAAGCAGATGCAATGCTTGCATCCTGGCAGCCCGCTTCGTACAGACTATCCAGCACATGCTTTAGAGGCGCCCTTTCGACCCGTCGACAAGGAGTGCGGCAGCCGTGAGCGCTCGCTGAGCTCACTACCCCTCCTCTAGTTCACGGCCACCCAAGCCAGGACCAGGGACGTCATAAAGAAAGTTATTGTTTTTGCTTGATTTTATACTTTTAATTTGCCTATAACTTTTAAAATAAAGCAAAATTCGAGAAAAGAAGTTTCACTAAGTCACTACGCTCAGGTTCGGCGCAAATTAAAAACCAGTCAAAAAGTCGTTGTAGGGGCACTTTAACATTACATATGTCTAGTTTAACGATTGTACAGTTCCACCTCTGTCCCTTTGAACATTTTGTGCGTCAGATACTGCTCAAGATGTTTGTAAGGGTGCAAGCACACCGCTACTAAATAAAAAAAAAAGAAAAAGAAAACAGATACGGCTTTCACACTGCTTGGGGCGTCCTTCTTCCCCGGATGACGGCCCCGTCACGTTGGACATAAAAAAGTGCCTTCACACATGTTCGAAGGCAATACAAGTACAAAGCAAACATATTTGTAACATGCCGCGTCCGAAGATTACAAGGTCGTCTATGGCTCGATATAATACCGTGTTTTTATATGAGTAGTGGGACTGAGGCTTATCTGTGCACGCAGCTTTGAAACACGGGAATAATATGAAGCGATCATCACTTATCACCCGGGCAAAAAATGTTGAGTCACTGAGCTGTGGACCTGTGCTGAGCGTCCGATATACCGCACAGCAGATCAACAGCGCATGCTCATGGTAGCGCTCAGAGGGCGACTTTTTCAAAGGCCTATATAGTCCCCTTCGGGCATCCCTACTGAAAAAAAAACATTGGAAATTCAAGCGGGTGGCAAACTGGTCGCCCGTTGGAATCAAACTTGTCGATCCGTTTGGATCAAACGTGATTATGGGATACGGGTACCCGTTTGATACAGGTGCCCGTTTGATGCGGGTGCCCGTATGATACCAGTACCCGTTCGACCTGCCACGTGACCACACGTTCGAACGTGCCATTCGAATTAACAAATTATGCGCTAGCCCTAAATGGGTATTGTCTGGGAGGTTGGTTATCTTAAACATATTTAAGACGTCCCGAAACTCATAAACGTATTTATAACATGGAGAAAACGCGTAAAACAAATGCGCTCGCGTAGGTGCTTGTAAATGGACAGGAAAACCGACACAAAAGATTGTTTTCAATTCTCCTCGAAGTTTATTACCTCTTCTGTAGACAAGTACAAACGTGCAAGCGATCTGTGAAGACTATACAGGTAGACTTTCGGGGAAATTGTTCTCCCGGCTGCCGCGCGAATAGGCGCTGCATAATTCTATAGATAATCTTGAAGAGTACGCGTAGAAGGACGGTCAATCGTTGCCAACACGTAGGTTGCAGTGCACTTACCATAACAATAGCGGACTCGAAAGATGTAATCCGTGATATTTGTCGACACGGTCAAAGCAGGACAACCCCACAAACACAAACGAGAGGAAACGGCTCCTTGGAAGTTTCAACACGATGCGGCGCACAAGCTGTCATTTGCCGAACCCAGCCAAACCGCAAGAATTTGCGACTTCTTTGAAGAATCGCTCGTTGCCGATATACACGTGGGACTTTTCGAACACTGATAGCTTTGGTGCAGTTCCAATACGTTGTCGAGAGACATCCCAATAAGACCGCAGGGTTAGGCGACAGATTGAAGCAGGTAGGACGAGCGAACTTCGAGCAGCAACTGACAACAAGCAGACAAAGAAAAAAAGCGGCTGCAAGGAGCCGACCATAACTGTGCGTCTGGCGCGATGCACATTACACTTTAGTGTGCAGGTGAAACGAGATGAGACACGCCCGCTCGGGTTGCCACATTTTTTTTCATTTAAAATTTGAGGAACTGAGAAGAAGATAGATTCTTTACTTGGGATCTAAACGTTCAAGATTATATCCGCTCACGATTTCGTAAAAGCTGGGAAATTAGTTCATGGCGATAGTTCTAAATCAAAACATGCGCAAAATATTTTGTTACTCTTTCTTCTGTTACACCATGCAGGATGCTCTTCCGTCGACCAACTGCGACCCGAAATGGTTGTTCATCAAAATTATTTCTACAGGCTGCCGAAAACCGAGGTACTGACTTAAAACGTCTTCCATTAATGCCGCAATCACTTCCGGCTTCTCTGCTTGCAAACTTACTCGTGGGCAAATGAACCTTTCAACAAGGAGGGCTCAATCAAGTTTTGAAATAAAGAATGTATCTTTTTCTGGGTCTCATGTCTCAAAGTTTGTTTACCGCCAGTGCTCATGCGATATTTTGTTTTTTCTAACAAGGTAATCAGAACATTTCATTAATAAGGTAAAAGCGGTTCTCTGAAATTGTTGAACTATCACCAGCTCGCTTGCGCCCTAACCCTCCGTTCAAAAAGCTTTTTTTTTTCTTTTTCTTTTACATGGTTATGGCAAGCGACTCCGGCTTTCTGTGCTTACTGCGCTTAAACAGTGGCTCCCTCTATTTCCGCCTTTTGGCGTAATAGAAGTACTGTATCATGTTTTCGCCAGCCGTGAGCATGGCCGTGTCACAGGCAGCGGTGTGGATGCGAATGAAGCATGTTTGTCTGCTGACCTCTCTCGGTCTTGACAGCCCACAGCAACTTCGGCAGGCAAGAGTTGGGAAACCGCGATGACAGCGACACCCGTGTCTGCTCGCACATTTTGCCGAAACGTATAGCATTAACCGTTCCGACCGCAACGTCTGACAGCATGACAGGCCGGCACGTGTGGCGTCGTTAGTTAACGTTTTCCAAGCACTTTTGATGTATGGGCGGGATAGAAACGGAGCCCGTATGGACTACCCAAGAAGACAATGTTATTTCTACGACGGGAGCCCCCGTGGGCTGTCCAGGTAGGCCCTTTGTGATTCCCCCGAGGGCAGCCCGTGTCGAATTCTTAATTGGGCCCCACCTGAGGGGGCTAATTCCAAAGCCGACTTACAAAACCGAAGCGGAACCAACTTTCGGCCCCTCTTTCAGAGCCTCTTTTGTGTCACTGGGGGAAGCACTTTGATGTACAGCAAAGCACGCATCGTTTTTTTTTTTTCTTCATGCCTAACTTACATATATACAGTGATTCTCTTTCAAGCCAAAAATTCTTTAAGAAACTAGATCCCATTATGATTGGAGGATGTTATGAACAACAAAAGTTGCTCAAAACGTTGAGCCACTTGGTGTCCACGCGTTAGATACAAAGCCACAAAGAAAACACCTTCCGCATTGTGTTGCATACAAGTGTATAACGATATCGCACAAATCAGCCCACAGTGGCGTATAAGATATTTTTATTGAGGCTAAACTGTTGGTGCATCAAAATACTGCGAGCTCGTACAACATATTCCTTAGATCATTTTGATATAAATTGCCAGCTGTGTATTGGTGTCTGAGTACGAATAAGATATGAAAATGTGCTGTTTGTTTGCCGGTTCCCAAAGGCGTTTTAAATGCATTGATATTATAGGGCCGCTTCGCACTTCAAACTTCCATCTAAGTTATAACTAGGGTTTCGTGTTTTCGGGGTTTATGTTTTTTAATTTGTTGGTGAATTTTTCTTTTAGATCTCTTTTTTTCCTTGGTGTTAATGTCCGGTATTGAAGAAGAAACCCGTGTTTCTCGGGGGGTTACGTAGAATAAAATAGCACAATGGTACGGGATTCCTCAACTTCCTAATAACATGCTAGTTTCGTGAACATTAGCCTTTTCGAAATTTCGAAAAGTTGCGTAGAATATGTGCGGACGCCTCTAGTTGGTCGTGCGCTGTGAGCACGCATTGCACACGAGCCGTTTGGCGACATTCGGAATGCACTCGGCTAGAAGAACATTCCACACGAGTGCTGCGTCAATGCTCGGCGCCAACTCGGAACCAATCAGGAGGACGTCATGCGAAAAGCGACGAGGCCAATTAATGTCGGCTGCGGCCACTTTTGCGTCATTTCACCATTTCGGAAAGGGTCTATGGGTGCCTGGTTTTCAAAGAAAGAAGCAACCTTTCGAAATATTATCGCGTTGCACTGTGTTCTGTGTCAGCACAAAATGAAGGTATAGGCAGAAATTTTACGCCGCGAAGCTTGGCTATTTTCCCATTGAACGAGAGTTCTGATTCCGGTTTCCCCCAGAGTTTGGTAAAACCGGCTGGGAAGTTTTCTTTCGGGAGATTATCGGCATACATAAAACAGCGACGCCAACGGCGACGCCAACGGCGACGCCAACGGCGACGCCGACGGCGACGCCGACGCCGCTCAAGCCGGGAACGGGCCCCTAAGAGCTGCGCTCTAAAAAGCAACTCACCTTTATCCAATGACATAAGCCCTCCAAAATGACTTTTCGTTTTTTAATGGTAGGAAGGGTCTGTAAAAAAAGTGAAAGCCGTTTACAACTCCCTGTAACAACGAATTAGAGCGCAGCTCTTGAGGAGGAGGAGGGAAGGGTATTGGGGGGTGAAGTGACCTGGGGGGGTCACGTGACCTTGGGGAGTCACGTGACCATGCCGATGATGTCATCAGTGACGTCACTGATGACGTCATCAGTGACGATGACGATGCGGACTCCGATGACGTCATCAGCGATGATGACGATGACGATGCGGATGTCGGTGACGTCATCAGTGACGTCACTGATGACGTCATCTGTGATGACGACGATGCGGATGCCCCCCCCCGAAGTCACGTGACACCCCCAGGTCACGAGACCCCCGCCGAGGTCACGTGACCTCCCCGATGACGTCATCGTCACTGATGACGTCACCGGCATCCGCATCGTCATCATCACTGATGACGTCATGTGACGTCACTGATGACCTCACCGGCATCCGCATCGTCATCGTCATCATCACTGATGACGTCATCAGTGATGTTTTTGATGTCGTCATCTGTGATGATGACGATGACGATGCGGATGCCCCCCCCCGAAGTCACGTCACACCCCCAGGTCACGTGACCCCCGCCGAGGTCACGTGACCTCCCCGATGACGTCATCGTTACTGATGACGTCACCGGCATCCGCATCGTCATCGTCATCATCACTGATGACGTCATGTGACGTCACTGATGACGTCATCTGTGATGATGACGATGACGATGCGGATGCCCCCCGAAGTCACGTGACACCCCCAGGTCACGAGACCCCCGCCGAGGTCACGTGACCTCCCCGATGACGTCATCGTCACTGATGACGTCACCGGCATCCGCATCGTCATTGTCATAATCACTGATGACGTCATCAGTGACGTCACCGGCATCCGCATCGTCATCGTCATCAGTGATGATAACGATGAGAATGCGGATGCCGATGGCGTCATCGGGGAGGTCACGTGACCTCGGCGGGGGTCACGTGACCCTGGGGGTGGTCACGTGAATTGGGGGTGTCACGTGCCCGGGGGGGGGGGTCACGTGACCTCGGGGGGTCACGTGACTTTGGGTCACGTGACCTTGGGGTGACCTTGGGGGTCACGTGACCTTGGGATGACCTTGGGGGCCACGTGACCTTGGGATGACCTTGGTTACGCCGACGCCGCCGCCGACGGCGACGCCGACGCCGCTCGAGCCGGGAACGGGCCCCTAAGAGCTGCGCTCTAAAAAGCGGCTGCAAGGAGCGCCCTTCCGGATCTCGATGCTTATCAGCGTGCAGCTCGCGCGCTGCTGTGGGTCACGTGATAGGGGTGACAAGAGAGGAGGGAGGGGGCGAGGTCAAGGCGCTGGGACCACCGGGTCAGAACCTCTCCCTCTCCCCAGGCATTCCAGTGAGATGTGTTTTTGTAGCCTCGAAAAACAAACACGCGCGCGCGCGCACATTTTAGCACGCTCGAACCTTGGAAATGGCGGCGAGGCGGCCAGAAGCTCGGCTTGCGCCCGAGCGAAGAAAGTACTCAGCGCGAGCTCGTAGTTTGAGTGCTGCAACGGCGGGCTTGCTCTCGCAATGCTAGATGTTCTTGCAGCTTCGTGTACGCGTGCTACCTTCGCTGCGTTCGTAATTCAAGTGAAACGGAGTCTAGACTACATTCTTTCACCCGGTCGCGTCTTCTGCGAGAGAGATTCGAGCTGAATAAGTAAATTGAGGCAGGCAACAAAGATGGACAAAGTTTTGAAGTTCTGTCAAAAATATCAGCTCACCAACGTCGCGCGTTTACGTAAAAAAAAGTGCTAGTTTTTGTTGCAGAATAATCGAAAATCAGCGCAATTGAAATATAAATATAATTACTTGCAATACGCGGACGATCTGAAATCGATGAACCGCCGCTCCCAGCCTTCCGGAAACATTGGCTGCCACTTCTGAAGTGCTAGGCGTGCCCACGCCGCCGATCTGTACGTTCAATATCAAACGGGCTCCGGAGAGCCGTTTGATTAAACCGGTACAGTTTGCAACATGGTCACCGGTTTGAGCAAACGTGCGACAACTTTGCCCAAACGAGTCGCCCATTTGCCCAGACGAGCGACCCGTTTGCCAGAGAAGTGACCTGTTTGTCCAAATAGGTGACCGTTATGGCTCATACGGGGGACCCCTTTGACAAACTGGTGACCGGTATGGTTAAACTGTTACCGGTATGGACCCGTTTATTTTCATATGGGCGCCAAATGGTTTTTTTCAGTAGGGATACAGCCCGCCCCCGCCGGAGCACGTTTTGAATCACTAAAAAATTACAAACGGTAACGCTTCTTTGTAATGCGGGATTAGAGCGCAGCTCTTGAGGTTTACCGCTTTTGTGATATAACCGGGGTAAGAAATTTGAGAGAGAAATACATTGTGGCGGTGCGTCCCTGTAGGACCACCAGGGCATACCAAGACACCATGCTCTGAAGTGTATGCGTTCTTCAAAAGGAAGAGAAGACGATGAAGGACCCGAGCTCGAGGCAGCCCTGCGCGAGATATAGAAGAACGACCGGCCTGGCGGTGAAGAGACCGCACTGCAAGTTCCGGCTGACTGCTTATGCCCAGCCTCTGGTTCTTTGCAGAGTAAAATATTTTAGTTAGGTTTCCCGACCCTGTTGGTCCATACCCGCCGCGCTCACGAGAGCAATCGGGAAAGCCCCAATATATATATATATATATCAGGGTGTCGAACCGGAACCGAACCGAACCGAAAACCGGAACCGAACC